GCGCCTCGCTCAGCCAGTGAGCGGGAACCGGTCTGCATGTGGGATCCGAACCCTCGGGCGGGAGCGCCGCCGCGCTTCCCAAGCGGCGCACTATCCAGTGCGCCACCAGGCCGGCCCTTAAGCACTTTTCTATGTTAACCCATTTGATTCTTACAAAAATCCTATGAGGTACTGTCATGACCTCCATCTCCGTTATCTACAAATGTGGTAAAAGAGGCTGAGGTAGTTAAGTAATTTGTCTAAAGTCATAGAACTAGGATGCATAGGGTTTTGTCAAGTTGGGAAAGCCATTTCAGGAACATGAGAAAAGATACTAAGGACTCAGGAGAATACCTGGAGGTTTTAGACATTTCATTTGCCATGGAGTTTATTTCAGGGTTTTGAATCCTGTGTTAAAGAGTTTTGGATTTATCTTGTAATGAGTGCAGAGTCATTTGAGATTTTAAAATAGAGGATTGATATGTCTGTTACACACAGATACAGTTATCTGTAACTGACAGGTAACTTAGAAAAGGCATGGAAAGTTTAAGTTGGGAAAGTTTGAATATAAGTAGACCTATTTTGCTGTCATAATAGGCTTAACGAAGTTGATGAAAGTATGAACTAGAACCAGTAATAATAGGAATGGTTGAGGGAGAAGAATTTTGAGTGTTACGAGATCAAGTGAGTAGAACTTGGAACTTGTTCCTCTGGGCGGTATTTCCAAGAAGCAAAAGGTGATACTGTTGGCCCTTCATATCTGCGGGTTTCTTATCAGTGGATTCAACCAATCACAGATTGAAACCTGCATATACGGAGGGCAGACTGTATTATGCCACTTTATATAAGGGCATCTGTAGATTTTGGTATCCATGTTGGTTCTAGAACCAATCCCCCACGGGTACCAAGGGACAACTGTATAGATTTGGGATTTATCAATATTTAAGGGGTTGATGTAAATACGGGCGTTGCTTGGGGGAGGCTGTATTTCAGAAATAAGATTGCTTGGGGGAGGGTGTATTTCAGAAAGGGGCTAAAAATTAAACTGTAAGAAAAAAAGGAGTTATTAAAAGTAGTGTGATGGAAGCATAAATTATGAGACAAAGAATGAGGAAAAAATAAGGCAGAGATTTAGCAGGTTCTAGATCATACAGGGTCTTGCTTACTACATTGAGTCACAATGCATTTTTGTGAAGCTGATAGGGAGCCAAAGAATAAGTGGTCAAATTAATACTCGTATTTCGAATTGATAGCTCATACTACTTAAGTGGAGTGTAGATTTTAGGGGAGACTGGAATTGGGAAGGCAGATTGATAGTTTTATGGTAGGAATGAGAGAAAATTAGGGCCAGAACTGGAGCTGAAGAATTAGGAATAAAAAGGCAAGGGGAGACTTGAGAAATGCTTATATGATAAATTTGCTGTATTTTATATGGGTTGTGTGTGAAAAGAGTCAAGGATAATACCCAGCATTTCTAACTTGGATTTTAGTGTAGGACACAACAGAAAAGAAGAGCAGCAGAGAGAGGTATAAAGCAACAGGAATGAGTTAAAAGTTTATGAGATGGGGCCGGCCCGGTGGCGCACTGGATAGTGCGCCGCTTGGGAAGCGCGGCGGCACTCCCGCCCGAGGGTTCGGATCCCACATACAGACCGGTTCCCGCTCACTGGCTGAGCGAGGTGTGGGAGCAACACCGAGGGTTGCAATCCCGTTGCCGGTCCCCAGTCCGGTACGGGGGCAACACTGAGGGTTGCGATCCGTTGCCGGACACGGAAAAAGACAAAAAAAAATAAATAAATAAAAAAGTTTATGAGATGATGACTAATGAGAGTGCTGGAAAAGAAGCTGGGTTGGGGTGTAGAGATTGATTTGGTGGGTTTTAGACTTCAGTATGCCTGTGTGGCATTAGAAGCAGAACTGTATGTTGACCCTGAGGACTAGTCAAGAAATCTGGATTGATTAGGTGAGTATGTTCATTTGCTTTCTAGTTATTGTGTTGCTTAAAGTTAATTTGCAATCACAGTGATTCTGTAGCATTTGATTTTCTTGCCCTTTTTGAAGTTGTTCATCCATGGCTTGAGATGCCTGGACAATTTTGAGTGTCACCTAATGTCTGATGCAAGTCTAGCTTATTTTAGTGCTGTTACAAATGAAATTTGTGAGTTGTAGCAGATGGGTTGTGTTCTGAGACTTGATTGTTGGTGATAAGTTGGTCGGGGGGTCCGCAAGACCACCCTCAGATTTAATGAGTCATCAGGAGAACTCAGAACTCAGAAAAGCTATTATACTCATGCTTATAGTTTAATATAGCAAAAGGATACAGATTAAACTCAACAAAGACAAAAGGCAGATAAAGTCAGTCATGTGGCATCAACTGCCCACGTGACTGACCTTAGTTTCCAGTAAAAGGTCAGACTGATAACAGCATGGCCCACGGCCTCAGGGAAACAAAAAGAGGTAGGTATTTGTCATAAATCATATTGTCAGCATAAACTATCTGGCACAACCCGTGGTGTCAAGTATACAGAAACATTGTTATCAGGCAGAGTATTCCAAGGGCTTGGATGTTATCTTGAAGGAGGTGATCAAAGACTAGTCCTTTCTTTGG